GGAATCCCAAAAATCCCGGGAATACGAAATCCGCCGTTTCCCCCTTGATATATTTTCTGTTGTCTTTTTGGTGCTATTTAATGCATTGGTAGTATATTCGTTTAAATTACCAAGCAATTCAAGTAAATCTTCATTGTCACTTGTGTCGTCATATTCATCACGCATGTTACGACTAGTTATGACTAATTCAGGATCAATCGTATCATTTTCAGTTTGAGCTTCAGTTATAATTCGAAGTAAATGCTCATCACGATCTTTCTTACATTCATGTAAGAGTTGAATATTTTCTATAATATTCTATGAATCCGCAGATATATGATGTTGGTGTGACTTGAGTGCATCTTCCCAATTTTCATTAACATCACGAAGATCAGACACCGAACGCCAAGGTACAAAAAGTGTCAGAAGAGCTCGACTATATCGTTCTTTAGTATCTTCACGATCATGTCGAGGAATTTGAGGATCATAGAGAATCGCTATATGAGCCTCACTGTATTCAGTCAACAGATAGGTTGTTGCTTGCGGATGCTGTTCTTGAAAAGGAAAACGTTGATTTGGTGGTCGGCCCTTTCGAGTCCCTTGTTGTCTTTCTGTGGTGGAAGTTTTAGATAAATATTTTGCATCTGTTGCATTCATTTTTCTCTTGTAAAATGTACTAACGAAAGCGCATAAACAGATTTTCCTTCGAGTATCTGATCGATATTGATAATCAACTCTTGTGCTGACAAGTACAAAACTGTTTTTATTTTCAGTAGATTGAATCTGAAAATTTTCTTCATTATTGTCTTCATCCACAGTATTTTCATCATCCAACACATTGTCATCGTCAATCACATCTATCTGTGAAAAAATATATATTCATGCTTTTTTCTTTATTCAATTAGATATATATGTCTATATTTCCCGTCTTGATATGTAAAACAAGAATTACATTTAAATTTCATTAAATTAGTTCGATGCTCAACACTTATTTTGTGCAGTATCATAACTAAATTATACTCATGTCATTCTTCGAGTATAGATCGTTTGAAAATCAGAAACAGTGTATAATATTTTCCATCCGTCAATGTCATTCTTTTCTCTCTTTCTGTTCTCTCGGTCTATGAAAACAAATGTACGGTTTTAACTGCCTATCATACATATTATTTTTCGTTTCGTCTAAGTTGTGTCTATCACAAATGACTTTTCTTTCTCTTTATTTTCTTGTTCTCACTCTTCTCTCTGTTTCGCCTTGCATATGCAGAAGACAAACAATTGCTGTTTCAATAAAAGTTAGTGCAAAATAATAACTGTAGAAAGGTAAACTATTATCTTACCATGCGAGGCATGTTCTAAATTTTGTTTAATGCGTAATTCGTTTAATTCTGTTTGTAAAAATATCTCAGTTTGAATTAAATAAAGACCTTGAAATTTGTGCGTAGTGTAATGGTCGCCCCAGTTCATGAGATAAGAGGCAACTTGAACTCTAGATAGCTCTTGTTGAGAAGCAAGTGTATTGTAACAACGCAAAACCAGTTTGCGTGATCTTTCTATAGCACTTTCCGTCTCTGTTTGATCTGCTACATTTTTGAATGATGTAATACTTTTTTGAATAAGAGAGAATGTATCATGAAAAGATAGACTCGTTTTTGTAATATAATCAGTGATATAATACACAAGAGCCTTAGCATCACTACCAGTCCAAATAAATTTAATATCCATGTTGGAGCGACATGCTGATATAAGGTCGATTGAAGTCAGCCTCAATCGACGTGATCCCAAGTTGAATCCAAAATCCATGTTTTACCTATTTATCAAAATTCATTCTATAGTCCAAATATTTTATTTATATTATACAATAAAGAATCCTAAGCAAATTTTAGGCTTAGTTAATTAAAAACTACCAAGTCAATGATTAATCAACTAATTATTCACTAATTACTAATTAATTGCTAATTAGCAATTAAATTTTTACCTTGCCTATAAAATTTGACTAAAACATAATCGAACTCGGAGAATTCAAATCTGAGCTCAGTTTCGAAC